CGGGAAATCGTGAAAAGTACAATTAAGCTCCAAAAGTTACATTTTTTGTCATTAATTTGGTACAATTTAAAAGTCCTAAATATCAACACTGCCCTATATCCGATTAAAAAGTCTTCTATAAGCTTAAGTGGCCCTAGGGACTTTGCTAACAGCATGTCGCCACCAATCACGGAAAAGTTCCACAAAAACCAAAATCTATTCGCGACTTAGCTGAACGCTAGCTGACCTGCAGCTATTTTTGCGTAATTAGCGATCCAATCCAACACATTTCAACATATTTTCTGTCACTTGATTGAGGTTTTATTATTTGATTTTCTGCATTATTGTATGTAGTTTTATAACATTTCCCCTAACTAGCTGTTGTTGGTTGTTGTCAGAACGATTTGATTGCGAAATAATTATGCAAAAATGAATTTTAGTCACGAACAACAACATAGAAGACATGCGAAATTAATTTACAATACACATTTGTGGCGGGAATGTGAGTACAGTGAAAGCTCTCATAGATGGACGCTCTAATAAGCGGGCATCTCCTATATGCGGGCACATTCTTGGCAACGAACAATTTTTGTTTTTTTTTCTATACAAAATTCTCTTCCATACACGGACTTTGCGATAAACGGACGGGGCACTCAAAAATGTCTGGTTATGACAAAAAAATCTCCCAAAAGTGGACGCGAAGCTCTAACAAGTGGTCAATTTTTTTTTAGTCAGATGTTGACTCCTGCCCTTTTACATATGTATATGAACACAAGAACATAGTCCATATTCAAAGATATTTTCTTTTCTAGAAAAAGTGTTGCCTTTTGCCCTCTTCTTGCTGCTTGAGCGAGGCGTGCAATGAGATTTGTCGGTAGGAAAGAAAACGCCATAACTTTGAATTTACATTTAATTCATCCTGTTTCTGTCTATTGTAGAATGAATATTATTTTAATTTAGCAACCCGCAACTTCAATTTTTGAAGTGAAACTTCTTTAGCGGCGGTTGTTTGGTTGGGAGAAAATTGGCAAATTCAACAGAAATTGCACACGGAAATGTTGCAACGGAAAGTGCACACGGAAATTGTGCAACGGAAATGGTGCAACGGAAATGCTTGGGGCTGAAACAAGTGCTTCTTGAGTGTATGCACATGGTATTAATTTAGCAAAAACTTGCTAACAAAAGGTTAAAAAATAGCACTTAAAAAAAGGCCAGTACAATAATGAAAGTAAAGGTGAGTACGTACGTAAATAAAGAAAAGGATAAACGCAAAGCTAAAAATAAAAACAAAACCAAAGATGCGTAAATATAAAAGCAAAGATGAAGATCAAGGTAAATTTAAATACTTTAAAAGGTGAAGGGGAATATGTTGATGAAGAAAATATAAACATAAAAGTAAAAGCAAAGATAAATATAAAGAAAAAGATGAGGATGAGGATACCGATAAAAGTATAGATGAAGAAAGATTAAAATAAAGGTAATTATAGAGAAAAAGATATATGTAGATAGAGACACAGAGACTCAATCTGGGAACTATTTTGGGATTTTAGATATTTTCGGGATTCTCGGGACTTATCGATGGAATAATCGATATTTCTATCAGTTTTGTTACCGACAATTTTATCGAATTTGTCATCGAAATTTTTTTCGATTTTGTTCAGTTTTGTTATATGTTTTGTTACCGATTATTTATCGATTTTGTTATCGTTTGGGTTATGTATTATATGTCGATTTTGTTGTCGATTATTTATTGATTTTGTTATGGATGCTTTTATCGATTTTGTTATCGATATTTTTATCGATTTTGCCATCAATATTTTTATGGGTTTTATAATCGATTTTTGTTTTCGATTATTTATCGATTTTGATATCCATATTTTTATCGATTTTGTGTCGATATTTTTGTCGGTTTTGTTACCAATATTTTTATCAATTTTGTTATCAATATTTTTATCAATTTTGTTATCGATATTTTTATTGATTTTCGGTTTTGTTATCGATATTTTGTTGGATGCTACTGCCGTTTTTGTTATCGATAGACTATAAAGATAAAAATGAAGATAAAGGAAATCAGAATAACATAAATGTAATTAGAACGAACAGGGGTAGAGGTAGGGATCTAGATAGAGAAAAGACAAAAAATATAACCTTAAGCAAAAGCAGATGTCTGTATGTATGTACATATGTATGTATATTGGTTATAACACAATATATATGTTACGTAAGTTTCACTTCTCACTTCTGTGGCTCAGGCGCACTTCCTTTTTTTAAATTTGAATTAAAATTTTAGTTTTTCCGAAATTATCATAAGCGGACATATCTTATAGGCGGACAAAAAGTAAGTGACCATCGGTGTCTGTTTATTGGAGCTTTCACTGTGCATACAAACAAACAAACACGTAAATATGTATGTAAGTATCTGTACTAAGTACTAAAGGAAAAACTACATTTTCCAACATTGAAAGAATGAATTTTCGTTTTATACCCAGCATTGCTCAACATTGTTGTTATTGCTACTTGTGTATGTTGTTGCTTTTTTTTTTTTTTTTATTCCCCGCCTTGGATGCTTGAATTGTGGCCAAAATCAAATACATCTGTACTCTTACAATGCAGCCGGCCCAGTTGAAGAATCTACGCGCCAGTTGGCCTATAAGTTTGGCTACTTGGCTGCTGGCCGTTTGCCTGATCGATTGTGCATACAACTCGTCTGCGTGCCGTGCATGCGCTTGTGGACATGTTTGCTTGCAATTCGGCTGACCGCCGCAGCCCATGTGACACATACAAATGGAAATGAATGGATGGAGGTGGCTGACAGGGCGTTGATCGGTCGATCTAGGCTGCTGCTTGGCTAGCTGACCGGTTCGTTGGTCGACTGCTTGCTGGCTTGCTTGCATCGTTAGCTGTCTGTTTGGCCAACGGGGCCGCCAGGGCTGGCTGACTGGCCAGCGTCTTGGATTGCGGGAAAAGTGTTACCGCCACCGCCACCGCCGCCGCCGCCGCCGCCGCCGCTGCCACTCAGCCGAAAAGTGTCCACTGCAGCGGAATGCATCCAAGATTTGTGCATTCTGCAAGTATGTACTTATATTGTACATATGTGCGCGAGTGTGTGTATGTTCTTGTCTTGTTTATGCTGAAGAATTGAACTTTTTGGGCAGCTACAAATTTATTGTTGTGATTTATTTTGATTTCATGGCATTTGCCAGGCACTTTGTCCACGAACTATTATTATAGACAGTTTGAGCGTGCGTGTGTGTATGCAAGTGTGTCTGCTTGTCCACTTGTCTGCTTATAGCAAATATTTCTTGCTACTTGTCTGGTCAGTTGCTGCCCAGCGACTTCGTATTCAAAAGGTATTCGCTGCCCATTAGTCATGGCGGCGCAAATTATAAATTGCATTTCGCTCCTCTAATCGGCATCGCTTATGAAATGTTTTTAAGCAAATAATGTCGCATTATGAAGGAGAGGGAATGTGCAGAAATGGAAAAATAAATAACTTCGCGTGCAGAAATCATTTAAAATGGTGTCAAAGAGGTGTAGGTAATTCGAAGGCAATCTATTTCAGAAAAAATTATTCATATAAAATTTGTATGCATTTATTTTTTAATACAAATTTATATAAACTTTAGATTTCCCCGCCAATATTTACAAATAAACGTACGACCTTTGTACTATGAACAAACGATTAATATAACTATCGGAAAGGCCAGCGTTCGCCACTGCGTATGAGTAATCCAAAAGAGGTGATTAACATGTTAAGAGCCGGTTGTTCAATGTCTGATTAGCACAAATTGGGGGTAGAAACTCCGGTTAAGTACAACGACTGCTTTATCGAGCACATGTAACATGCATGATGTGGAAATCGTCGATAGTGTAGTGGTAGTGATAACCAGACATTGAACAACCGGCCCTAAGTAGGCAACCCAAATTCAAATGAAAAAATAATTCCTGTGAGATTTTGTTGGCAGGCTTGACTGTTTTCGCTTCAGACTACTATTGACTAACAATAAATTTATCGATAACAAAGCTAATAAATATATATATCGGTAACGTTGTAGATAAATATTCCAATGGCGATATTAATGGATAAATAAACAGGAGTATCGGTAAGCATATCGATAACAAAATCGATAGGTCTATATTGTAAACATATCGACCTCTTTGCGCGAAACTATCGTTTTTACCATTTTTTCGATATTTACTTTTTGACTCAAATTAGTTCTATACCCCACAACGCATCACCTGGAAAAATATAGTACCTACCTAAAATCCCTATAGTTACTCCAAAAATTAACTGTATATTTCACCGTATGTTGCAATGAATTTTTTCTTGGGGGCGAAATTATCGTATACGCCATACAAAAGTTTTCGTACTTAGTAAAAAGTAAATAAAATAAAAAACTTCTAAAAGTTTTTAAGAGCAAAAAACGCTCCTGTAAATTTTTTGTGAAAGCAAAGTATGGCAACACTGGAGCTCTTAAAATTATTCATTTAAAACAAAAGTTATGATCCCGAAATTTTGAAGAAGGAATACACAATGATGGATAAAGGAACACAAATTCGATATACTAATCGATCCAAATTCGGTGATGGCTATACTAGGTCAGACGATCTAAACCTATGTACGTACCAGAAAAGTCTGCCTCTGGCCACATTCTCAACCATATTTCCGGCGTAAGTCTTAGAATTTAAATCCTTAAAACTTTGTTGATCTAATTAGACAGGTATTAATCAAAAGATAACCATGCGGTCATCAGGGATCTATGACTGTGGTTCGTCCAAAAATACACACAAGACCTTTTAAAAAGCAGTAAGATTCTTAATAACGATTTTTAAAACATAAAAGCTGATTAAAGAGATATATAGCTTCTTTTAGAAGACTATCTAGGAGTATCTAAAGGACTACTTAATCTTAGCCGGAAAGGCATACGGATTATTAATGGGCCTCCCAACACTGACACTGGAAATTAGGATACCATATCCTAGAAAGGTATGACCGTCTGTCGATACGTACTGCAGGTTTTCCAGATTGGTGAAGGGTGCCCGAGACCTTAGATATGGCCATTGAAGCCTTCATATTAGTTATTTTATTTATCTATGTTATTAATTATATACTCTAACAGCCATTAGCAAACAATTCGATAACTAAGTATTTATATTTTTAAAAACTTAATGCTATACTTAAATGACTTTTATACAAATACGGAGGTACATATAAATATTGTAACTAAGTAAGTACACATGTGTGTGCAATTCGTCTAAATAATTCGCAAACATATTTCGCAAGAGTGAACATTAAACTAACAAATTTGTTCATTAAACAAAATGTCAACAACAAAAGAATTAACAAAGCAGTCCACCAGCCACCGACATCGTCTAACGCAAGAGATTTATGCGGAAGCATTTTTTCTGCTGCATGGGCATATAACGCTGAAGATCTGATTTCCAGCCAAAACCGAAAATAAATAGCAACGGCGCACAGTGAAAAAGTCGCCGCTGTAGTGGAAATAGTTATTACTGACAATACTAGTTGGGATGCGGGAAGAGCTGATCGAACCAGGTACCTAGTGCAGGCCAGACGTCCATAGGTCAATGTGGAGGCTGAGTTGTCGCTTGGTTTGAAAGAGGTCGCTTTTATGAAGATGCTTATTACAAAGTGGATGACTCTTATTAAGGTTAAGTGAGTTGAGTGGGTGACGCACAGTGGGGCAAAAAAGGTTGCCGGCGACAAATCAATTTTGAGAGCCCAAATATGCACTGATTTCAAGTTTCTTTTTTTTTAATAAGAGATAATTAAACTTCGCGTCGATCTATTCATGTCGATTTTTTAAAAAAGCTCTACTTATTTATTTATTTATGTTGAAAAATGAAAGAAAACAAAATTTTACGCTTAAATGCTTCCACTTTTTTTGAAAAATACTTAAAATTAAAAAACGCCTGCAATTATTTAAAAAATTATTCATAAACATTTTTCCGTAGGATAAATTTAATTAAAGATGTTTTCAATTGGTTATGTATACAAATATATATATAGAAAGCCGTTTTTTTCTGTTCGAAAAAACTCGGGAACAGCTATACCGTTATTTGTGAAACTTTAAACATGAACTCTACACCCTCCAAGGATGATAATAGAAGAAAAATAATTTCGATATGTCAAGGGGGCGTGGCGCCTCCCATACAAACTGAAGTTTTCACACAACATATCTCTGGAAGTATCCATCGTAGAGTGCTGTAACTTAGTATAGAGATACATAATATCGATGCCAACCTGATGGAAAAAATTCGAGTTATTGAAAAAGAGGGCGTAGCACCAGTGTTGCCGCGACAGGAAAAAAAAGTTTATCAAAATCCTTCAAAAAGTTTAACATTTCTCGAAAAAGTTAAGCAAACTAACTTTTTTCCAAATGTGTATATATATGTATATGGGTACATATAATTTTATTGTAGGTATAATAACACAGCACAGAGACTATGTAAGGAACGAACAATTTCAATTCAGGTACAAAGAAAGAAAGCAAAATAAAAAGTAGTTTTAAAAACTATGTAACGCAAACTGTATTAGTACATACATATACTTTAAATTACATACATATTAGTTTATCAAATTAGATATTAAATTAATTTTAGTTTAAGTCTTTCTAAAATAATATAAAACTCATGAAGCGATAGTAAATACTCCACCTTTAAGGCATCCGTACAAATGTGCCTATGTCTAAAGTATAATTAATTTTCCGCAAAGACGTCGTTGCATTCTTAAATTTATCCCTTAGCGGAATAAGATGTTTTTTTAAGTTTGTATTGATTAAAAAATGTCTTTTGCCAACCATACATAGTGAGGTTCAACTTTGCCTACGCATAATTCTTTTGTCAACATAATATTATTTATAGTTCTGATTTCAAGTTTGTTTCGTAATTTCGTTTTGACTAAATTCAAGTCTG